CCGCACCAATAATGTCAGAAAAAACACGAGGAACGGCGCCCCGGCTCCTTCACAGACACCCCCGAACGAAATCCATACACAGCCGCAACCAAGTCACTCACTAAATAATGCATGGATGGGACCCAGCAGAGAGCTGATACAGACGCACCAACCATAATCAATCACTTCCTTTGATAACAAGAAAAAGAATCACCAGAAACAAAAACATACTCGGCTTCAATAAATAAAATCTTTCATTTTCGTTCTAAGTTGCATCAATAGTGAGTGCAACCCAGGTTGCAACATATAATGTAGAGTCCCGGCCGCAAGCGACCTTGTTTCTGTCATACATTTAGCCAAGGTAGCACTTTTCTATCGATGTGGCACGAAAGCTAGTGCCTCGCCCGCAAACGACCTCGCCTTAATTAGTTAAAATCATCCATTTTCCGTTCTTAGTTTATTTGATAGTGAATGTTACCCAGGTTGTAACATATGATGTAGAGCCTCGGCAGTAACCGAAATCAGCTCTGTCATACATTTAGCCATGGTAGCACTTACAAGGAACGTGTAAAAAAGAACTAGCCTAAATCACTTCTTAAAGTTGAAACTGCAAGGTTGGAATCTTCTGGCTCTAGGGATAAAGAATTCCTGTTTTATCTGATTTTTATATACCTTCTTCGCCCAATATTTGGACATACAGAATTCAATGTGTATGTGTAGGATTATCAACGGATTGATGAAATGCATAATAGCAATGCATTCCAATTGATACCTTTAACTATGAATAAAGGAGGTCTATATAAGATAAGACACTTGAAATGGTTAAAACTATAACGAATTACATTTGATAAATTCCACACTGAAAAGAAGTGTCTGGAATTACACTGGACTGGTTCCAAAATTGCAATGAAATGTCTGATAGAACACTAACAAAGTCCAAAACTGCAAGAAAAGACTGGAATTAAGACGAAAAATTGTAAACTGTAAGAAATTATCTGCATAAACTCCAATAATATAATAACGATTTATAGAATACTGATAAACTTCAAATTATAAGAAAATTCTGGAATTATACTGAGCGAACTGCAAATTGCGAGAAAATGACAGATAAGATACATACTGGAAATGCTTAAAAGTATAAGAAATTGCATTTGATAAATTCTAAACTGAAAAGAAGTGTCTGAAATTACACCAGACTATCACCAAAATTGCAATAAAATGCCTGATAGAACACTAGCAAAGCCCAAAACTGCAAGAAAATGTCTGGAATTAAGCCAGAAAAATTGTAAACTGTATGAAATTATCTGCATAAACTCTAATAATATGATAACGGTTTATAGGATACTGATAAACTTGAAATTATAAGAAAATTCTAGAATTATACTGAGAAAACTGTAAATTGCGAGAAAATGACAGATAAGACACTGGAAATGCTTAAACCTATAAAGAATTACATTTGATAAATTCCAAACTGAAATGAAGTGTCTGGAATTACACTGAACTGGCTCCAAAATTGCAATGAAGTGCCTGATAGAACACTAGCAAAGCCCAAAACTGCAAGAAAATGTCTGGAATTAAGCCGAAAAAATTGTAAACTGTAAGAAATTATCTGCATAAACTCCAATAATGTGATAACGGGTTATAGGATACGGACAAACTTCAAATTATAAGAAAATTCTGCAATTATACTGAGCAAACTGCAAATTGCGAGAAAATGACAGATAAGACACTGGAAATGCTTAAAACTATAAGGAATTACATTTGATAAATTCCAAACTGAAAAGAAGTGTCTGGAATTACACTGGACTGGCTCCAAAATTGTAATGAAATGTCTGATAGAACACTAACAAAGCCCAAAACTGCAAGAAAATATCTGAAACTACCCCGACTAAATTCTAAATTGCGGTGTAACGTTTGGAAAAACTCCAAATTGCAGGAAAAAGGTTTATTCATGCAACACTGAAAAAATTAAGAACTTAAAAGATTCTAAAAATACAAATTTAGACTAAAATGAAACATGAATGACTAAAAATCACAGGTAGAAATGAATAGACTCCAGACTAGAGACTGAGATTTACTAGATTTTCAATATCTTTGAAAATGACATGAATTTAGCACCCATCCCATAAGCGATGTCAGAATGACTAGAAATTGTCACACTTTCCACCCTAATCCGTCTCGTCGGAACTACCTTTGCTGTTTTTTAAAGATTGTTGCACCTTACAAATTTGGGTTTGGGATATAGTTGTGGCCAAATTAAAAAGCACTCTCCATTGGTTACCATTAATATATTATGACAAGCCACTTCATGGCAAGTTTGGTCTTAAAATGATCTTTCTAAAGGTATAGATAAAGAAAATTAAGTTTCCAAAGAGTGTCAACTTTATTAAACAAGTTTTGGTAATTACACAAGGCGAACGCGCAGACTTTATGTGGAACTATATATGAAGATGAAGTAAGAGGAGAAAACTTTCAAGCGTTTGATTCGACTCAGACATCTCTTTTGATATTACAGTGAATTTTGTAATTGTTATTATAATATTATAATCGTGAAAAGAGATTTAAAAAGAAACAAAATTGTTGACAAGAAAATCCAAGTTTTTAATAGTTTCGACAAACAACATATAATTTAGTACCAAGTAAACATTTCATAAATTTGAACTTTTTTACTATTTACGGAATCTGTTAATTGACGTCAACTAACTCGTATTTCACCTTCAACGTGGCTCAGATGTCAGTACAAAACATAAAACATAAACGTATAATGTTTTAATAGAAACTCAACCGCGAACAAAAAGAAAAAGTGAGGATTTGTAATTTTTATTTTAGATGATTTTGATATTTTTTGCTTCACTTCTTATTGATGTCGTGTTTTTTTATTGCGTGCGCTTGAAAAGTCGAATCCTCCGTTTGAAAATGGGACAATCGTGGTACGACAATAACGACATTGTTACGGAGGCCGGTTGTTCCGGCTGACAATAACGAAAAGCACCGGACAATTTCGTAACCAGCCGCGTTCCCGCCGAGTTTCATGGACGATGAAGCACAGTGAAGGACAAACCGTGATCTCGCGCATCGGTGAGATCACGGAACTTAGTTCGCGCCCATCTTACGTAAAATAAAATAACAAAATAAAACAAGTTTTATCATTAATTCAAAAATTTGTCATAATCAATCAATATGGTGTTAGCCATTTTCGTTTTGTTAGTGTTCAGTTGCCAAAACATCTCTTCCTCTTATTCTTCATCGGGTACAGGAATGACGACGATGATGTTGCATTTTTCTTTGAAGAAGAAAGTCGCGCTAGGATGAAGACATCATCGTCATCGTCGTCCTGTCGTCAGGTAGTAGCATGCACCACGTTCCTCCTCCTTATACTAGTCATGGTCTTTAATGATTCAAAGTCCACACGGTGCATGACTGAGCAACCCAAGCCCGGTAGCTACTTTACTTATCTATTTAATAGACTTGACGCCGGGTCTCTTTTGTCCGTACAAAGAAACGACTCAATAAAAATAGCAAAAAAGAAATGAATCGAACATGACCAAGAAGAATCTTCTTAAAAAAAATTCATGTCATATAAATGCAATAAAAAAAATTTTGTTCTAAGTTTCCTTTTTTCTGCATTTATAAATAATGGTAAAGTGGTAAAAGAAAATGGTTAAACTTTACATGTAAGCAAACGATGATTATATGTAATGAGGACAGACAACCCGTATGTCTACGTTATGTCTCGGAATTAGAATCAAATTCCATCGATGACACCTGTGTGTAACACGATGCCATATATACTTTACACCGTAAATACATAAGTAGATCCTAAGTGAGGAAGGTGGTAAGGGCATACCTTTAAAAGTGGTAGCTATGGAATGTTACGCGGACACTCAATAATAATAATGAGTCGTAAAGTAAACGATTTTAAGTCCAACTGTATCGTAATTGCTTGATTGTGGTGTTGTTAAAATACGATCTATTTATTATAATTCTAAGTTGCAAGAAAAACTTAAAAAAGGAACTACACAGACTAGATAGATTTCTAATTTTTATCGTTTTGATTTCTGATGTCTTTTTGTGCTTTTTGTGTCGATTCTTTTCTAAATCTTCTACATTTGAAAACAAAATTATCACAGATTAAGACATTTTTGTTCTTTAAAATATATTGTTGAATTACAACAAACAAAGTATAAACTACCTTTAGCACAAATATATTTCAAGTCTTAACTCTAAAGATTAATATACATCATCGTATAATTATATACACCTTACAAAATTTTAAGAAACGGTTTTAACTCATCGATAAATTGAATAACAAAAACTAGTTAAATATGTTTAAACATATTTAACGAGCATTCCCAAAATATTCGTTCTGTATAACGACAAAGCGCATACAAAGCATTCCCATAAACACATAATAACACAACGCTTTATCTCTGCGAGGTTCTCTAATAGCCCAATTTGTTAAGTATTTTAAAACCGTTTCAAAATTCTCCCCGATTCGTTACAATGTTGTGAACATGATGCGAGTATTCGCATTAAAAGTCTCGTTTCTAAACTCCTATCGCCATCTATACAAGAATAGCTGAACTAAATCTTTTCAGAAAATACGTTTGGTTGAAAAATTAATCAACTTTCAGTTGAGAACAGGTTTTCTGTAGCCGGTTCGTTCCTTCCAATGGTAACCTTCGAAGAAAAGGCGCATGTTCTTCGAATATCTCGACCAATTACTTTGTAGATTTTCCTACCACAGCTGTTGTCATGGTTACAATTATTAATGATAGGTTTCCTATTGGTCGCATATTAATACAGCCATACTTTCATTTTTTAATATGGCACTCATGATTTTTTATACAATACAACAAAAATTGATTTGAATAAAAAATAAATAAATTGTTTTTAAGTTGCAATTAAAATTTCATTCGCGTCCATGAACAAATTTAAATACCCGTATCGACGAGTTTTACATATTAATTACAATGGATGAGGTGTATATAAACTGGTTGTTTTTTGGATTAAATAGTTAAAACCAAAATTTGGTTTTGTTGGTTGTTTAATTCAAGACAAAATGCGTTTTGCGGTTACTTTGTGTTTTTTATTTTTCTATTTGTGTTTGTTAGACGGCACGGTGAAATGTGAAAATGATCACTTTTTCCTAAAAGCTGCAAAAAGTGTTCCTCGTATTGGAAGAAGAAGTCGAAATCAAAATGTCGACGACAGTTTTGAGAAGTTTTTTTTGAAAGCTTCTAAATCTGTCCCTAGAATTGGCCGAAGAGGACCTGTTATGGTAAAAACATCTTTTTTAATTTCATTTTTTATTCATTTAAATTGTTTTAGGGTAATTTCATTGATGATGATGCGCAAAATTATGATTATTACATCCCAATTCAAGATTTTAAATATGAAACGTATCATCCTGAAGATAGTAGCAATTCGCAAAAAGAAATTCCTGAATTTCGTTTACAACCAGACCGATTTATGTAAAATTAAAAGATTTAATTGTAATTAATTGCACTTACGAATTAAAATTTTAGTCGTAAAATAAATCTAATCACGATTCAGCATTAAATTTTATTTTTTTTTTTTAATTATAACTTCATTTCTGTTTTTAAGCAATTCTGGTCACATTAGTTTGAATTGGAAAATGTATATATTGATCTCTACTGTAAAAGTTAGAACTACGGTAAATCTTAGGTTTAACTAGTAAATCTTAAGATTTACCAACATGAGTAGGTAAATGTGGGGATTTTTTAAACGAGAGATAATTTTCTGGCTCTCGTGATATGCTCTATCTTTCATTGCCTCGATGAAATTCAAACCCTCTGACCACTTTGTTAACTGATTTGTTTCCATCCACTTGCTCAGCATATTTTCGATATCTTCATTGGCCCGCTCTACTGATCCCTGAGTCTGACTGTGTCTGGGCTTCCCATATACTATTTTAACGTTTGGCCACAGAGAGCATAAACTTTCAATAACTTGGTTACAAAATTCTCGACCATTATCGGAATGAAGGATGTTTGGAGCTGAAAAAGTGGTGAAAACATCGAAAAGATGGTATGCAACTTCTGCTGTGCGTTTCTGCAGTGCACGAAGAATCACAAATTTAGTGAGATGGTCTTGGTAAACTAAAATGAATTTATAATTTCTATCAGGATTAGTTTGTAGATCTATTAGATCTAGTTGACAACGTGAGTTCATTTCATTATGAAGTATAGGCTTGATGACAATACCCTTTTTCAAAGTCTTCTGTTTTAAATTCCTTCAGCTTTAACAGGAATTTAACCTCCTTCAGCTTCCTTGTCCTTCCACCATGTCCAACAGCAAGTATAAATATGTAACAGTTGAGGGTATTATGATATATTTTAGAGTTGGGACCGAAGCCGAATAATTACTCGCTATTCGGCTTATTCGGCCGAATATTTGGCAATTCCGCCGAATATTGAGTTTTATGTGTAGACGTTTTAAATTTTAATAAAACATGTGGTGCATATCACAATAGGTTTACGAAACAAAACACATGATAACTTACTCATCAGATAAACTTTATTTGATAAAAAAGATCAATAATCATAATTAATTAACGGCAAGTTTTCGTGCAAAAATACTAAATGGGCAGCTCTCTCTGGTAGTAAGCGATTTCTTTTTTTTTCCATATAAGTTCCCTGCTTCTGAAAACAGTCGCTCACTGAAAATTGTGTTTGATGAAGCGGATAAATACACTTTTGCAAGACAACTCATTTTAGAATATTTGAAACTGTTTGTTTTCCACCAAACAAATGGATCTTCATCTCGTTTTAAGAGTTCTCCGGATAAATAACAGTCCAGTTCAATTGCTATCCTATTTCTTAGATTGAAGTCTTTAACGGCCTTACTAGACGAAGCTATGTCTTTATAGCAGTCCCAGAAAATACCATGACTTCGANCTTGACAACGCACATAGGGGTATTTCGGCAATCTAAGCGGCCAAAATTCGATTTTAAAAAGTTGAATCTCGAAAAAAGTAACATCTGACATAACAAGTTTAATGACATACACGTGTCATACAACGATTCGTTTCGTTCCTGTACATCCCTATCGTCCGTATTATTATCTCAAAGTTGGTTAAATAACTCGAATAATTATTTCAATCTTTTACATAAGCGTCCAATTAGATATAATTTTTTTATTTGAAAATATAAATATTTAACTGAGTATCATGGATTGTGATAAACTAGGTAAGCTTCTTTCCTTTCTACGGTGTTTTGTTGCATAACCCTTGCATTTACTAAAATATAGTGTTGTGAGGAAGAGTCTTTTCTTGTATTTTTTCTTTTTTAACGTTTAAATTGATTAGTTACATTTCCCGGCTTTGACTATACATTCATTAGATTGCTTAGGCTTTATACATTACGGTACCTTTCTGTCTGTGAAATATTGCGATTTTTCAAATGATTAAGTCTTAACCGTTTGTGACAAAGGTATACCAAACTCAAAGGTTATACCCACATGGAAGCAGACTATGTCCACGGTCTTATTGAGCGAACCATAAAGAAAGCACCTGCATTGAGTATCGTTACGCCATGGGATTGGCATCAGTTAATTAGGTCGGTAGAAGCTATAGTTTGGAACATGGAATTGAATGACTTTAAAAACTTTAATGTTTTGTATTCATCTTCAAACACAAAATTTTCTTATTTCAATTGCGGTATGGTTAGAAGCACATCGTGACAGCCCAGGTGTGCTTTATTGCAACACAGAATTTACCGATAAAGAACTGAAAAGTGTAAATTTGTGTAGAAATTGTAGACAAAGAGTAGCATCAATTCCACATGAATTGCCTGTTATTTGCAAAACCCCCAAAGGTATAACCGCAAAGAAGCATCAACATCTTTTGAAGTTGTGTGAGTGGATACCGTCTCAATTTCATTGCTTTTATAGAGATATGACAATAAACAAGAAGGAAGAAGAAAGCCCTGATTCTCTTCTATTTCTGGTTGATTTGGAGTTACGATTTGTCTTTTATGTTCTTTACATGATTTTGTGTTTAGTGTTAAACAATGGTAAGTACCTTAATTTTGGTCAGGTACAATGGATTGTTGACATGTGTATAATAAAATAGTTCAATTAGTTACTTAATTAAATGTTCAAAAAACCAAATGAGTAATTTCTACTCAAAATATTTTCTATCTATATTATAAAACTTTAAACCTTGTTTTCTAAAAACCTACAATAATGGAGATACAATCCTTTACCTCTAAGGTGCAGATGTACGAGATAGAAATTAAGTTCTATAAGTCTTTATTGATTGATTTCTTTAGGAACTTCTAATGTCAAAATGATGACTAGGAAAGTATTATTTACTCTTATGCAGCGTCAGGATTTAAATAATATCAACGATAAATTGATTTTTTTGGAAAATCATCTTTTGAGAGACTCCTCGGACCAGCAGGCGAAAAAAATAATGCAAAATTTTTCAAGATTTAAATCCGAAATGAATAAACGATGAGCTGCAGCATTACGAAAAGAGAAGCTTTTTTTGAAAAAGAATGAAGAATAGCTTGTTGGAACATTCACCGTTCCAAAGGCAAACATTTCAAAGCAAGTAGAACGACCGATAAAGCCGTTTGATGAATTAAGTGATAAAAGCTTAAGAAGAAAAACTGAAAAGTTACGTCAATCTACCGACTTAAATGTCCTTACTTCTGCCGCTCAGTCGAAGTTGAGAGTCAGTGGAACAAGAGATGTTTCACTGATGAAAATGTGATAACCTCACAATTAAGTACTTCTGAAGCCTTATCACTTTCTGTTGAAGCAGGATTTTCTAAAAGTCAGTACGAGGTAATAAGAAGTTACAATAAAAACATATATCCCTGCTATAGCGTACTACAAAAAGCAAAACAGGAATGTCATCGTGATAAGAAAGCTTACGAGGATACCGAAACTTGTGGGAAAATAAAAATTCAAAATTTAATGGATCATACTGCCACGTGCCTTCTGAAGCATCTAGAAGAAGTAGTGCAATCTTTGCAGAAATCCGAGAGGGATTCGTTGGTTTTACTGAGCAAGTGGTTATGTGATGGGGCGCAACAATCTGAATACAAACAAAAGTTTGTAAATGGATCTGACAACTTCGAAAATCTTCAACTTAGTTGCTCTACGAACAATAAAGCCATCTGGCAGAATCCAAAACCGTCCTCACCCCGTTATTGTCGCCCTATAAAGATAAGATTTAGTGAAGAAACCACCGACTTAACTAAAGAAGAGATAAAATATGTTAAAAATGCAATAGATTTATTACAAAATTCTACAGATACACCCTTTAACAAAAGTTATTCAGTTAAAGAAACAATGATGCTAGCCATGGTAGATGAAAAAGTCTGCAATGCTATTACGGGCACTACTTCTACCATGAGATGTTATATCTGTGGTTTAACCTCAAAAGATTTTAATGATTTAAACATAAAAACAGAAGATAAAACGGAGGCACTTGGTTTTTGGTCTTTCTGTGTTACATGCCCGAATAAGACTATTTGAATCGATTTTACATCTTTCTTACAAGTTACCTGTAAAGAAATGGTAAATAAAGTTAGAGGGATTCGGTAACAGTAATGATGGCAACACGAGTAGGAGATTTTTTTCGGACCATGAGCTAGCAGCAGAAATTACAGGACGATTTGATATTAACTTAATATATAGGTTAAAAGTAATCCTGGAAACCATCTCGAGTGGATTTAAAGTCTCTTCAGATTATTTTGCTGCATATGCGAAGGAAACTGCCGAGCTCTATGTTAAACTTTACCCGTGGCATCCGATGACTCCTACATTACACAAAATACTTGTTCACGGAGTAGCAGTTATAGAAAGCGCGTTTCTTCCGATTGGCCAGTTATCAGAAGTCCGAAACAAACATTTTAGATTTATAGGTTAAATTATGCTCGAAAATTCTCGAGAGAACCCTGTAACCACGAAGTAATTAATCGACTATTATTAACTTCAGACCCGTTCATAACAACAATGCGACCAAATCTCCCAAAAAAAGCATTTCTAAAAGAAACGACAGCAATGTTAATTTGTGCTGCACCTTATACACAAGAACAAGATTTTCAACGTCGTTATCTTCATTATAATCTTTTAGTTAACAACTTCTTGTGCGTTTCTATTTTAATTTATTGTTTTATAGTAGTTAACATAACAACTTTGATTTGTGTGTTCGTTTATCACATCGTTTTTCAAGCGATGAAGAACTGACAGTTCTCGTGAACTTTAATATTGCAGGATAGCCCATTTGTTATCCAGATTTTATAAAAAACTTATAAAACACTATAAAAAGCCTATATAAATACTTTTAGAGTTGAGTAAAGTGAAAAAATACTTTTGGCCACGTAGATCTTCAAAATACCCCACTGTGCAACGTGAGTTCATTTCATTATGAAGTATAGGCTTGATGACAATACTCTTTTTCAAAGTCTTCTGTTTTTGTTTTGACAAGGCTGGCATAGCTTCAAATATGTCATAACACCCTCAACTGTTACATTTTTATACTTGCTGTTGGACATGCGATTCTTCGAGAATGTTGAATAAGTA